CAGAAATTGATCCTGAAATTGATACAGAAATTCCAGGGACCCACAACAGCCAAAATAATTTGAAAAAGAAGACCAAGATTGAAGGACTCATACTTTCTGATTCTGAAATTTACTGCAGAACTACAATAATCGAAATAACTACTGTGTGGTACTAGCTACGGATAGACATGTAGATCATTGGAAAAGAACTGAGAGTCCAGAAATAAGCTCACATTTATGGGCAATTAATTTTGAATAAGGGTGCCAATTCAGTAAAGAATAGTCTTTTCAGCAAGTTACACTGGGACTACTGAAGATCCACAGGCAGAAAGATGAAGTTGGAAACTTTCCTTATGCCATAGACGAAAAGTAACCCAAAATGGACCAAAGACACACATGTAAGCAGTGGAGCTAGATAACACTCGGAAGGCGTCGGAGGCATACGTCTGTGCCCTTGGAAAGGCGATCGTTTCTTAGATCTGATCGAAGGCACGAGCAAGCAAAGGGAAACACATCATCAAATCATGCACTCACACTTCGGTGGGCATTACCAAGAAGGGGAAATGGCAACCAAGAAAATAGGAAAGGTATTTGCAAACTGCATTTCTGGCAACGGTCTAATATCCAGAATATATACAGAGCTCTTAAAATTCCATTATAAAAAGGCAGTTAACCCCATTCAAAACTGGGCAAAACATTTGAACAGACATCTCTCCAGAGAAGATGGATAAATACCCATTCAAAACTGGGCAAAACATTTGAACAGTATCCATCTCTCCAGAGAAGATGGATAAATGGCCAAGCAGCACATGCAAAGGAGCTCAACACCATTATTCATTAGAGAACTAGACATTGAAAACGCAGTGAGATACGACTTCACACCTACTAAGACAGCCACGGAAAACAAACAATAGCGAGTGTTGCTGAGGACGTGGAGGAACTGGAACTCTCACATATTACTAGTGAGGCTACAAAATGGCAGAGCCACCTAGGAAGACAATTTGGAAGTTCCATATAGGTGTAACCATAAAGTTAATATGTGATGGAGCAATTTCACCTACAGACACACCCAAGGGAATCACATAAAGACCAGTACAGAAATTCACAGCAGCCTTATTCACAGAGGGAAAGTGGGAACAGCCCAAATGTGTATTGACGGGTAAACTCATAAACTAAGTGTGGCATACCCACACATTGGAGTATTATTCAACCAGAAAAAGGAATGAAGTACTGATCAATGCTACCGCAGGGACACCTCGAAGCCTGCATAGTGAAAAGGCCGCGTACTGTAACTCCATTTACGTGAAGAGCCTAGACTAGATAAACCCACAGAGACAGACTGTGGTTGCCAGGAGCGGAAAGGAGGGCCCCGTAGGAAGTGACTCTAACGGCACTCCTGGGGTGACAGCGACATCGTGAAACTAGTAATGGTGGCAGCTGCTGGACCGAGAACTGCCCGAGTGCCACTAGCACACTATACTACAGAGAAGGCGTCTCAGCGCGGCCATGGCGCCACAGGCAGCTGGGTGTCTGAGCAGTGCCGCAGCCGGCGGGGACACTCCAGCTGGACCCCAGGCCACCTACGCCTGCAGGGCACACCTGTGCAAACCCATGATCTGCGGGGCAAGGATGAGAACACGATGGGAACATGCTGACAATCCCTCTCAAGCAATAAACAAACGTTTGAAAAATGTGTATAGTAATGATCATTCTAACAATAAAAATAGCAATTTTTTAAAAAAGAAGAAGCAACTTCCAACTGTTCCTAGTGTGTGTGGTGGTGGTGGTGGGGGGTGGGGGTCAGATCCACAGGACACGGCGGGAGGTGACTCCAGGAAGCAGAGAGTGAGGGGAATGAGATCTCTGGTCCCAAGTGTTCTAAAATGAAGACCTGAAGGAGCCCCTTGTAGCTCCCGACAGTCTTCTTGGTAACCTTAGCCCTCTCTTCGCAGGGAGCCATCTTTTTTTTTTTTTGGAAAGGTTTTTGCTATAGGGTGCATGTGCTCACCAGACAGACAGAGAGAGACAGAGAGATAGAAAGCGAGAAATCACCCCCCAGGGGGGATGGCCATGCCGCAATCCCTTCTCCTCCATTCTCCTCTTGGGATCTTGGGCACACACGCACACGCGCCCAACATGAGTTTAAGTCACCGGGTCCAGGACTAGAACCGTGGTCAACTACATGGGAGTCGAGCAACATAGCCATTACGCTAACTGCTGGTCCCAAGGGCACATCTTCATCTTGAGTAAGCGCCAGATGTTCAGCATGACACATGGCAGGGGCAAGTCGGAATGCTTTCTGCCCACGCATTCTCCTGGATCGTTTTGCCCAGAGTACCATGTACACCCTGAAGGCGCTGGCCCGAGGTCCGGAGTCTGGTCCTTACATGGCACCACGGGCAGCTGATTCCTGACCTCCTGGGCACACCTTGCACAGACAGGAAGACCGGGTCCCCAGAGCTGGGCAGCTCCTCTAACGGCCACGGGAGGAGATGGGAGCAATGGAGAGAGCTCCTTCGAGACAAAGCCTAGCACGGGGCAGCCGGACAACGTGCTCAGACCTTGCACGCATCACGCTCAGCGTCCGGCTTGTCTTCCCACAGGTGGCACCACTTCTCCTTTAGGCTGACCTTGCATGAGTGTCCCTTCCCATGGGGCTAAGAGGCCTGAGCCCTCGTGCCTGTCAGGGCCGTGGACAGTGCAGGGAGACACAGGGGCCTTCACGTGGGATGAGAGCGCTCGGAAATACTGAGGCAGAGACTTCAGAAGGCCAGAGCTCTGCAGCCTGCAGCCAGGAAGAGCATGGCGACCCCTTAGTCACACACCAGCTGGGTTGACAGCTCCGCACACCTGCCCCTCCCACAGCCCCTCCAAGGCCCCACAGTCTGCAACTGGGGCAGTTCTTGGGGACTGCCCGGCCTCCATCGCTGCCTACAGAGCCTGCGCGGGGACTGTCCTCACAGAGCCTTTGGCACTGGGCCCGCAGCTGGCCCTGCGGTCACTGGTTCCTGTCATGGGGCTGCTCCTCCAGGAAGGAGGGGATCGATCCACCTCCTCCCGCACAAGTCTAGCCCACCGGGAATGGGCTTGTCTCCAGAGGCTCGAGCCCTAAGCACAGACACCAGCCACTGATGGAAGAAGTGCCCAGTGTACAGGGTGTTCTGGGGAGCCTCGCTGGCTCTGCTGTAGTGGTGTACAGTGAACGGACGGGAATAAATATAATTACATTAAAACAATAAAAAATTAAGTTAAATTAACAGAAGCAGCGCAGGGGCGGGAGGGGCGTGGCGCGGCACTCACCGGGGACCGCCTTCTCGTAGCAGACACCTTTGTAGAAGCAGCAGCCGAGCTCCTTACAGCGGTCCCTGGAGACGTTGTAGTCACAGATGTCATACAGGGGGATGTCGCACACTGCGGGAAGCGCACACGTGAGACAGCGGTGGCCGAGGCAGGGCCCCCCACTGCCATCCCAGGGAGTGGGTGCCAGATGGGCGGTCGTGGGGGTGCTATGGTTTTGTCTTTCTTCAAGACTCATCATAGAGTCCAGCACTGGAACAGATCTGGGATGAATCGGGGTCCTGGACAAACGCGCACGATCACACGGGCCGTGCGGGGCCCTCTGATGACCGGGAGTAAATCTCGGCCGGGCAACACCAGCCAGGCCTGAGGATGGCGGGGATGAGCCGCTCCACAGCCACGCGGGAACCCGGGCCAC